GGAAACCGCATCCTTGAATTTCTGGGAATCCGGTGAAAAACTTGGAGCCGTTGAATCTCATTCGGTTCAAATCGAGGTTATTCAAAACAGCCAATTTTCTCCAAGGGCCACCACTGTAGGCTGCGAAAAAAAAAAAAAAAGGACATTTTTCAAAGGATTATCAGTTCTCCGCTCCATTTCCTGCTTCAATAAAACAATACGCCGATTTATCACGACAGAAAAAAGCCAAGCCCTTCAGGCTTGGTTTTTTTCAGCCGCAATAAATCATACATTGTTGAATTTTTTTTTTCTCTCTCCATAATTTGGATTTTTGCCTGAGAAGCAAAGAAAACCTTTTGACGCCAGGCTACAAATGGGCAGTTTTGTTTTTTTTAAACTTCCAGCCACAATCTTATTTATTTGATTTATTTCTCCCAACTGTTCAGCTCTTGCCTCATCGACACTACCACCCATTTTTTTTTTAATCAACTTTTCATTTACTCTGGAACCCTTGCACAATATTTATCTGCTGGAGCCACTTGCCCCGTGAGGAAGGAAAATACGGGAAAGTGATCCAGATTGAGTTGGAAGGGACCTTGTAGGTCATCTAGTCCAACCCCACTGGCCAAGCAGGAAACGCTACACATTTCTGACAAATGGCAGTCCAATCTTTTCTTGAAAGTCTCAAGTGATAAAGCTCCCACAACTTCCGAGGGCAACTTCTGTTCCATTGGTTGATGATTCTCACTGTCAGGAAATTCCTAATTATTTCTAGGTTGAATCTCTCTCCTTGTTCAATTTCCATCCATTATTCCTTGTCTGGCCTTTGGGTGCTTTGGAAAATAGCTTGACCCCCTTCCTCCTCTCTGGGGCAGCCCTTCAAATATTGGAAGACTGCTATAATGTCTCCCCAGTCTGTTTGTTCATTAAAATCAGATTAAAGTCAGATTAACAGAGTTGGAAGGGACCTTGTAGGTCATCTAGTCCAACCCCCCACCCTCAAATGCTGGAAGACTGCCACCCTGTCTCCCCTGGTCCTTCTCTTCACTAGACTAGCCAGGCTGGTTCCTGCAACCGTTCATCGTATGTTTTAGTCTCCAGTCTCCTCATCATCCTGGTTGCTCTTCTCTGTACTTTTTCTAGAGTCTCAACATCTTTATTATAGTGTGGTGACCAAAACTGGATGCAGTACTCTAGGTGTGGCCTTACTAAGGCTTTATAGAGTGGTATTAGTACCTCCCTTGATCTCGATTGTATCCCTGTGTTAACTCAATTTAGGATTGCATTGGCTTGTTTGGCGGCTGCTGCACACGGCTGGCTCCTATTTAGCTGGTTGTCCACTAAGACTCCAAGATCCCTCTCCCAGTTCCTGCTATTGAACCTGGTTTCACCCAGTCTATGTGTGTCCTTTGGGTTTTTCTTGCCTAAGGGTAGGACTTTACTTTTCTCTACACTGAATTTGATTTTGTTAGATACGGCCCAGGGTTCTAGTCTGTCAGGGGACTGGAAGCTAAAATATACAATGAATAGTTGCAGGAAGAGGGAAGAGAAAAACCAGGGGAGACAGACATTATAGCAGTCTTCCAATATTTGAGGGGCTGCCCCAGAGAGGAGGAAGGGGGTCAAGCTATTCTCCAAAGCACCTTTGAAGGCCAGACAAGGAATAATGGATGGAAACTGAACAAGGAGAGATTCAACCTGGAAATAAGGAGAAACTTTCTGACAGTGAGAACAATCAACCGAATGAAACAGAAGTTGCCTTCGGAAGTTGTGGGAGCTTCATCCCTGGAGGCTTTCAAGAAGAGACTGGACTGCCCATCTGCCAGAAATGGTGGAGGGTCTACCGCTTGGGAAGAGAGGGGTTGGACTAGATGACCTGCAAGGTCCCTTCCACTTCTGTGAATCTGTATCCCTTTCTCGTGTTTTTCTTCCTCCTGGTGCGAATGACCCCAGCAAAAACAAAACCTTGAATGATAATAAGAAGCTGGTTCCAGATGCGGGAGGGGAACTAATGCACAACTATAGATGGTCCTCGACTTACGACCTTCTATTTAGGGACCGTTCAAAGCTGCAACAGCACTTAAAAAATAATAATAATAATAATAAAGGACCGTTCTTCACCCTTGTGACCCTTGCAGCATGCCTGGCGGTTACAACGATCCAACGTGTGCAAACTGACTCATATTTATGATGGTCCCAGTGTGGTTCCGGGGGGCTGTGATTGCCCTTGGGACATACAACCACCCCTCAAACCCTGGAAAAGATGGATTCACTTAGCAGTGAAACTTTCAGGAAGAGACTGGACTGCCCTCTGTCAGAAATGGGGCGGGGTCTCCTGCTTGGGTGGGATGGGTGGGCTAGATGACCTCCTAGGTCCCTTCCTAATCTGTTAAGGATGGATCTTGTTGTTGAGGGAGGTTGTGGGAGCTTCATCCCTGGACGATTTCAAGAAGAGACTGGACTGCCCTCTGTCAGAAATCGGGGGGGGGGGACTCCTGCTTGGGCAGAGGGGTTGGGCTGCGGCCCACTGGTAGCCTGCGAGAAAATTTTGGTGGGCCGCAAAGAAATCTCACCCCCAGAGCATCCCCCAAAGCAATTAATACAGGCTGCGCAGAAACACAAGGCTGCACCGCCCACATGGCCCGCGGGAACTCTCCCCGCCCGCCCACTCACCTGGCAAACTTGCCTGCTAAATTGCTTATTTTTGCTACCATCATCTGTTCTGCTCTGCTGGGAGATTTAGATTAGATAAGAAGCAGGAAATGGTTGGATTCCTTGCTTTCTAGTATTCTAGATCTTGGGCTCTGCTTTTTTCCCCTTAGGGCTGAAGGTTTTATTATTCAGTGCAGACTCACGGCAAGCAAATTTTATGCGACAGACTGAGCTAGCCGATGGCAGATAGATAGATCGCTGAATGATTCTGTGAGCAACTCAATCCGCCTGCCTGCTTTGACTGATTTGGGGTCAAAGTTGCTTTTATTTTTAATAAAAAAAAATTCAACATTTACATACATGGTGTTTTGTGAGTTAATTTTGGGAGTTTGCTTGCAAGCAAATTTCATGTGACAGACTGAGCTAGCCAATGGCAGATAGATAGATTTCTGAATGAATCTGTGATTCTGTGAGCAACTCAATCTGCCTGCCTGCTTTGCCTGATTTTGGGTAAAAGTTGCTCTGTTTTTTAAAATAAAAAATTCAATATTTATATAAATATTTATAATATTTACATACAAGCTATGCCCAGCCAGTCACATGACCACCAAACCACACCCACAAATTAGGCCATGCCCAGAGAACCGGTTAGTGGTCCCTGGGATCTAAAATTATGAGTTTGGTGGTCCCTGAAGTCCAAAAGGTTGGTGACCCCTGGGCTAGATGACCTACAAGGTCCCTTCCTGTTAATCTAGCAATCGAACAACTGCGGCACTAAAAGTTTTAACAATGGGGGCGGAGAAATTCACAGAAAGTTAGGGCTCCATCGGGGTCGTATGTCGAGGACTTACGTGTATTTGCCAAACTTCAATTCCTATTGAATTTAATAAGATTGGGGCTGCAAATTCTTAAAAAGCTTTCAAATGTTTTTCTTTTTTCTTTTGCAATCTAAGCTGGTTGGTATCATTGGTTTCTCTGGAAAAATTCTCCCAGTTCTGCAGAATGCGGTCATTGTTTTTAACCATGATCCTCTTCATGATTTCAGATTTTAACCTCCCTTTATACACTAGAATAAGAATCGCAGAGTTGGAAGGGACCTTGGAGGTCATCTAGCCCAACCCCCTTCTCAGGCAGGCAACCTTACCCCCCCCACCTACCCCTTCAGACAAACGGTTGTCCAATCTCTTCTTCAAAGCTTCCAGGGTTGGGAGCATTGACCATTGAACTTGATTTTAAGCCATTCTTCTAAGTGGCCAAAAGAACTTTCCAAAAATGAAAGCAAACTCAAACTCCAGATTTTTGTTTTTTTTTTCCGGAGGGGAGTGGTACATAATGTCAACACAATTTCAGCCCGAAAAAAATATCCTATCCACCCAATAAAATTGTGCAGCTCAACAAAGCTGCACAAAGAGGAACTCTCTGAAGAAGAAAGTTGGTTTAAATTCAAGTCAAACCGAGTTATGTTGGTTCAGGCTAGGCCAGTGACCTCTTCAAATTGCAGGCCAATAAAAAAACAAAAAATCTCTGAAAATATCTTTTTTCCCCCTCTCTTTTAATCGTCATATCCTTCTGGAAAGCTCAAGGCCGTTGCAAACAGCCCTGAACTTGTAAACCATTTCCAGGTTACAATGGCACAGAGAAAAAAGGGGGACTTACTTGCACTTACGAATCACTCACGATATCTCTACAGTCAGGGGGATCCAAATTTGGGCATCTGTATTTACAATAGCCCCAGGGTCATGTGATCAGCCGCTTGTGACCGTCCCAGCAGGCTGTACGGGGGAAGCTGGATTCGCTTAATGAACCGTATGATTCACTTAACTGCACGGATTTATTTAACAATAATAGCCACACACACACACACATACACAAAGGTCATAAAATCGGGTGCGATGTGCTGAACGACTGGCACTGCTTAGTCATGGAATATTATTAATGCTCCCAGTTGTGGTTGTAAGTCAAGGACTGCTTTGCAAGCTATCTAAACAGCCAGGATTTTCTCTGTTTAAAACCCTGGAAGCTTTTAAGAAAGGATTGGATGACCATCTGTCTGAAGTGGTGTAGGGTTTCCTGCCTAAGCAGGGGGTTGGACTAGAAGACCTCCAAGGTCCCTTCCAACTCTGTGATTCTATTCTGTTCTGTTCCAGTCCGTTTAAGTCCAGTCCAGTCCAGTCCATATTTTGTTTTCTATTCTATTCTATTCTATTCTATTCTATTCTATTTTATTCTATTTCTATTTCTATTTCTATTTCTATTTCTATTCTATTTCATTCCATATTTTCTATTCTATTCTATTCTATTCTATTCTATTCTATTCTATTCTATTCTATTTCTATTGTAGGAAGTTAGCACCCACCCCTTTCCTAGAAAATTGAAATACCCTAGGAAATATTTAAAAGGCAGAATATTTCCCTTAAAAAAAGAGTAAAGTAGAAACTCGGAGAGGCAGAAGCTCAGCCCTCCCCCCCACCTTTGTTAATGGGTGGGCCATTAAGGCCAGGGTCAAAATACTTTACATAACAAAGACCTCCGGGTAAAGGTATAGCAATTGCCCAAAGCCCTTTCATCCAGCAAGGCTCAACCAAGCCTGGAACTCAGGACAGCCTACAAAGTTAGCTAAGACCCCCGCCCCTGGGAGTCTGACAGCCAATGGGATCCACTTCCTGCACAGCAACAGGAAACACTTCTATAAGCATCTTGGTCGCCCCTTCTTGATTTTTTCCTTTATCTTGAAGCATGTGATCATTCTTTTAACTTTGGAGGTTCAAAGCTACGTGGTCCTGCTACCCACCATTAAACCGTCTTTCCTAACAGCCTCCAGGTTTCCAGTATCTTTTTCCCCACTTGGAACTGAACCTAGAAAGGATATTTCTTCCAACACTATGATTCTGTAAGGGTCTCCTGATTGAACAGGGGGGGGTTGGACTAGATGACCTCCAAGGTCCCTTCCAACTCTGTTAATCTATGATTCTGTAAGGGTCTCCTGCTTGAGCAAGGGATTGGACTAGATGACCCCCAAGGTCCCTTCTGTGTTAATCTATGATTCTGTTCCATTCCATTCCATTTTTTCTTTTCTATTTTTCTTTTCTATTCTATTCCATTTCTGTTTCTATTCTAAATCTCTCTCTCTCTCTTTTTTTTTTTTACCATTCTTCCATGAATATACAAGCAGTGTGCCGGTTGGTTTACAAATTTTTTGTGCATCCATTTCATAGTCATCAATTACAGTTACATTGCATAATAACTCATATTCTCAATCAGAAATTAAATACCCTAGTATCATTATTATTCAGTCATTTGACAATAATTTTATTCATTCATATTTTGCGAGGTAACTATAATTTACTTAGTATCATTTTGTAACAATTCATATAATCTTCCCAAATCTATCCTAAATTTTTTTTTATAGATATAGTAAAAGAGAAAAAAAGTACATCTTTATATATTTATTATTTTCTAAGGTTCTAGATATTTCATTATTGTATTTTGTTATCTAACCATTGATAAAAAAAAAAGGTCCAAAATTTTATAAAATTGTTTATCCTCTTGCTCTCTAATTTCAAATGTCAATCTACTGTCTAAATCTCTTAATTTGTTACTATAAGAACGTCACAGGAGTACAATGTTTGGATTTTACTCTTGTGTTTGAATTGTGACCGTGAGAACGAATAGTTCGGAGAGATTGCAAAGCTATCAGCAGTCAGGAATTCCATGACCAAAAACCTTTGGTATGTTAAGCAGGTTTTAAAATCAATACAGGCCGTCGGTCCTCAACTTGCAACCGAAGAAGGAAAAGTGCAAAGTAGAGCGACGATTAAAAGCCTGGAGACCAAAACACATGAAGCATTGAGGTCATCCAATCCAGCCAACCCTCCAGATTTAATCAATTCACCAGAATTAACCAGTGGAACTACCTGCTATCAGAAGTTGTAAGGGCTCCATCACTGGGGGGTTTTAAGGAGAGATTGGACAGTCACTTGTCTGAGATTGTATAGGTTCTCCTGCTTGTGCAGGGGGCTGGACTAGAAGACCTCCAAGGTCCCTTTCCAGCTCTAGTCCAATTAATGATTGATTGATTGACCACAATTGAGCCAAAAGGTTCTCTTATGAAGCAAGACTATTCTTAAGTGAGTTTTATCCCATTTTACGACCTTTCTTGCCACTGCTGCTAAGTCAATCACTGCAGTTGTTAAGTGAGTCACACAGTCGTTAAGCAAATCGGCCTTCCCTCATTGACTTTGCTTGTCAGAAGGTCGCAAAAGGGGGTCACGTGACCCTTGCAACCGTCATCAACAGAAGTCAGTGGCCAAGCGTCTGAATTTTGATCAAGCGTGCAACAGTCGTTAAGTGTGAAACATGATCATAACTCACTGTATTCAGTGCTGTTATAATTTCCAATGGTCACTAAATGAATGGCTGTAACTCAAGGACTATTTGAAATAAGAAGATGAAGATGTTAACCAAAAACAAAAACAAAGGAAATTGAGAGATTTTAAAAGAAACGGGGGGAAAAAAAACTACGTTTCGGCTTGAGAAAAATGTAGAATTCTCAGATTTTACTATAGCAAATACCAATATAAAAGTGAAAGGCTCCTCATGCATCATCACAAAATCTCCAGGACCATAAAGTCTACAAACTTGACATTTGGCATACATGTTCCTCTTGGCTTCTATGTGTTCACTAAGAAAGAATTTTCCGAAATAACCATCAGATCATTTAGAGCATTTCCTGTACTATTATTAATTATTATTATTATTATTATTATTAACACGCTCTGATGCTAAGGAGTTCTATTGCCCCTCCCCACCTGAAAAAAGGAAATCTCTTCCAAATGCAAAACACAAGCAGAGGAGTTTCAGTTTCAGTTTCACAGCACCAAACAGTTTTAGTACAGAATAGTTGAGGTAAACCACGCCCAGGCTCCTTGTTGTCTCCTTCTTGCTCACGCAGCAAATACTCTTTCAGTTTCCAAACAGCCCTCAACTCTCTCACACCCTGACAGGATGCTAGCCAGATGTATACCGATGGATGCTGGTAGGCAGAGGCACAAATTTTATCTCCTTATTTTCCTCGCCAAAAACTAAACCTGACCACATAGTTTCATAGCAAAGCACGGGTATCAAACTAGTGTGAATTAAGATGAAGATGTTAACAAGGAAGGAAGGAAGGAAGGAAGGAAGGAAGGAAGGAAGGAAGGAAGGAAGGAAGGAAGGAGGGAGGGAGGGAGGGAGGGAGGGAGGGAGGGAGGGAGAGAAAGAAAGAAAGAAAGAAAGAAAGAAAGAAAGAAAGAAAGAAAGAAAGAAAGAAAGAAAGAAAGAAAGAAAGAAAGAGAAAGAAAGAAAGAAAGAAAGAAAGAAAGAAAGAAAGAAAGAAAGA